TGGCCAAGAGGCTGAGTTCAGCGTGTGCCAGCGGCGGGCGGACCTCTGAGACTAGAGGTTCTAAATTCCTGCTCGAGCAGACACTTCTGTTCAGTGTGCCTTGTTCGTCCCTTTCACGTGAGCCGGACGTTGGACCCTCCCTGCTCAGTACGCTCCGTAGAGGGAGGGCTGGAGGCAGGAAGGAAGAGACAGCGTGGTGGCTGGGAGTGGAGCTCTTGGTTACACGGTGGTCCTGGGACGCATAGAGAAGAGGAAGAACAGGGACTCAGGCTCACCGAGCTTACGTGGCACTCCACCTGCTTTGATTCTGCCCTCGGATGTGCTTGAGATAGTTCAGGTGGGCGGTAGGTGACGTGTTCCTCACTCTTGACCGTGGTAGAAGCAGCGAGATGGGGATGTGGGGTATGTGCGTGCGTGCGTACATGCGTGTCAGGACAGGTGGGCTACAAGCCGTAGGAGAGGAGCGATGTCAAGTAGATCATTTTTGGTGGCCGCAGATGGCGGCACGTAGAATCCAATAGAGCAAGAGTGGCAACCTTTGCAAAGGGCCAAATAAATATGTTAGGCTCTGCGGGCCATACGGTGTGTGTCACGACTAAACACCGCGCCTTCAGCAAACATACAGTACATGAACGGATGGATGAGGCTGCGCTCCACGAAGTTCAGGCCGATGTCGAGCATCAGTTAGATCCTGCCACGCTGCACACTCCACAGCAGCGTAGCGGAGAGGGTCGGGCCCAGACGCCGGGGACACAGGCTCTGTTCTCTGACGCGGAGACTCCGTGCTGTCTCGGGGGATGGCTGGAACCTATTGAAAGGAGGTGCACGATTAGAATAGCTCATTACTTAATTATTTAGGGGATGAAGAGTAAATCTCGGGCTGCATTTTGCCCTGCTCCCCCGTTTGCCGGGGCCAGGGCCGTGGGCCTGCAGTGTTCCCCTCTCTGTGTCTTATTTTGGAAAGCCGCACTTTTTGGATCTACAAAGACCACAGACTCAAGCGTTAATGGTTGTCTGTTTATGCTTCTGTGGAGAGCCCTTAGACTTAACGTAGGGTTTCAGAAGAGTGTCTGTAACTATAATTTCAAGGCAGCGATGCTAGTGCATGTGAGGACAGTGTTTCCAGCTATAAAGAATTTATGCAAGTTTGGGCCAGTCGCCTCCTGTGACTAGGACCAGATCATGGAAGCCCGTAGAATCGGAATCAGGTTAAGCTTCACCGGAGTGGGCAGTGGAGATGGCCCTTCAATGGGGTAGAATGAGTGTCGGTCTCTAGAATGACTCTCTGTGCTGCTTTTGAAGCGAGCAGATGGAGGGGCTGTTTTCCACCCCTGCCCGTGAGGAGAAGTGGACAGAGATGAGAGAATTTGGTCAGCTAAGAAGGGGCCATTCTGCCATAGATGAATACTCACCAGCTCTGGGCAGTCTACCCACTAGGCTCTGTCCGCCCCTTCTCGGCCGAGGCTGTGGCCTGTCAGGGATTTGCTGTGTGTGAGGTGTTGGGACCAGACAGGACATCAGGAGCTCTGGGCTGCAGAAAGTTAAGTAGCCATGCCCATTTTCCAGGCCACCCCAGGTGGACAGAGAGAAGGTCAGGGATGCTCCGAGCATGCCTGACTTCTTCGGAGTCACAGCCACAGCCCACAGGACTCTTGCATCTCTCGTCCAGGTTGGTCACCTGGGTTGGCCTGGTGACGCAGCCACCTCCGGCTCTGGCTGGTCAGCTAGGCTGCTGTGCAGGCAGCCATTTTTGTAGCACATTATTTGTAGTGCTTCTTACGTTCGTAGTTATGATAGCTCTTCCTCCCAGTCCGCTTGGACAGGGGTCCCCCACCCCCGGGCCGTGGACTGGTACCCGTCTATGGCCTGTTAGGAACCGGGCCGCACAGCAGGAGGTGAACAGGCAAGCGAGCGAAGCTTCATCTGTGTCTGCAGCCGCTCCCCAGCGCCAGCATCACTGCCTCAGCTCCGCCTCAGATCATCAGGCATGAGATTCTCATAGGAGCACCGGTCCCTGGTGCCACAAAGGTTGGGGACCGCTGTGACTTGGGAGCTTTTGCGGGAATGCTCGCCTCTGTTCCAGCGGGGAGGAAGTGTGGTCAGCTAAGACTGGGGGAGAGTGAGGTCAGCCAGTCTAAGGGCAGGTGACAGGTGGGAAGAAGTGGGCATACCGTTACATGACTCCTGTGACAAAGGGCCAAGTCTCCCTTTAGAAGAGAGCTTTCAGACTCTCTTTCGATTCATTATAAATCCACCCTGCTTTTAATGCAACGCCACTTGATCGCATACAGCAGAACAGGAATCAGTCTTGGTTAAAGCTACATGGTATGGAGACCATTTGGAAGCGAGCAAACAGACCAGATGACATTGTCATACGTCATTATATCGGTACAGGTGTCAGGAAGGCACACAGTCCTGAGTGCCTCATCAATTACTGTTCCTGAAGAGCTGATGTGCAGCATAAACGTATTTGCAAAATGCAAAGCACATTTTTCAAGCTTTGTGAAAAGAAACGAGTGAGTGGAGGTTAAGGAAAGCGAGCGGGGAAGGGACAGTTGTGAGATTTGGAGGCGTAGAGGAACCAAAGGGAAGAACTCGGATCAGAGAACCCCAAGGCCCCCACTTCCTCTGGAAGGACGTTCACGTGGCCTCGCGGCGACTTTGTACACCCACCACCGCCCATGGGCGTCAGGCTGCCTGTGAACCGTCACCTAGGATACGTAACTAGATTTCCCCATTTGAACTTTTATTTCATTGGCAACATTTAAAAAAAAAAAATGTGTGACATGGGATGATGAACCGAAGACGCCTTCGGCCGATCGCATTCTTGGAGCTTATTTCCTGAACTCTGAAATTCTGCAGCTGCCTGACCCTGGATGTGGCCAACGGGAGACATGTTTGCAGCCAGGGCATAGGAGGGAACCTCGCCCTGTGCACGCTTCTGCACACAGACGCATGGTCATGCTCTTGACCTTCAGGAAATGAGACTGCACAGCCGTTCGGGGCTGTGAGCTTAGAGTTAGCCACTTAGCTCCGTGGAAACCCCCCACCCAAGGAGCCACAGAAAGCGCACACAGCGTTGGTAGTCTGCAGGCATCTGTGAAGTTCAGAGGGAGCTGGCACACGGGGCATTGAAAACATGTCTCTTCTCTTGCCCTACGGGTCATTCCCAGACTTTTCCAGTTATAAATCAACCCATCAGTCAACACCGTTGGCAAAATGATCAGATCATTATCACACACCTGCCGTATGTAGGACACCGATAGCCTCCCAACGAGCCTTAAAAGAAACACAAGGCAGGCCCTGTCTCGGAAGGCAGTCTGGATTTGCACGGAAAGGGGGGTGCCATGGAGCCTACAGGGTGGCTGGGGGGTGGGGGAGGGAGGGGAGCTGAAAGGGGTGGCCTCAGGTTCTAAGAGGGAGGGGCGATGGCAAAGCCACTGGGCCAGATTCTTCCTGAGATACGGGGCCGTGAGTTGGCTGTAGGGTGGGGGCGGGAGGTGATTATTACAGGAGAGGGTGGGCGATGAACTGAATGGACAGGTGTGGGTCAGGTGAGGCGGGGCCGTGCGTGCCAGCCTCAAGCCTGGAGCTGGCATCAGAGTTCCCTGGAGGGTTCGTCACGCTGGTCGCCAAGCCCCACTCCGGCCTGAGAGCCAGAATTCCTAGCAGGTTCCTAACGCCGCTGCCACCACTGGTCTGGGAGCACATTTTGGAGGATCACTCTCTACAGGCCATGGGGAGCATTTGTGGCTCTCGACTGGGATGTTCCTGGTGGTAGCATTGGTTGGGGAGGCGGGTAGCATGAGAAGGCACCAAGTGACAAGCCAGCATGTGGGTCTCTCCAAACAAGACCTATGAAAGCACAACCTCCCCAGGGGCGTGCGTGCATGCGTGTGCATGCGTGTGCATGTGCGTGTATATCTGTATCTGTGCAGCAGTCCCCAATCTTTTTGGCACCAGGGACCGGTGCTCCTGTGAGAGTCTAACGCCTGATGATCTGAGGCGGAGCTGAGGCGGTGACGCTAGTTCTGGGGAGCGGCTGCAGATACAGACGACGCTTTGCTCTCGCTCGCTCGCTGCTCAGCTTCTGCTGTGTGGCCCGGTTCCTGACAGGTCACGGACCGGTACCAGTCCGTGGCCCAGGGGTTGGGGACCCCTGCCTGTAGGATTTCTCACCGAGGCGACATTCTCCCTATATTGTGTCACAGTAGAACTGCCTGCTGACTGGCCTTCTACACTGCAACTTGTGAACGCGAGCACCGGATTGAACAAGTAACGGGCTTTGAAAGTGCTAAAGCCAAGGGGGCCTTTGACCTCCCGCAGCCCGAGCATTTCAGGGAGGGTCAGCCCCCTCGTTAGAGCTGGGTGCCTTCTCAGGGGCTCGGGGCCCCCCGAGATGTGGACTCATCCTGTGCAGCGGGCCCTACCTGCCTGCTTTATTTCCACCGGGGGCGTTTTCACCCACAGTCTCCGAGGCATTTTGCCCTGAGGCTTTCTTTACACCCAGCTCCGGTGGGGCTCTGTACATCCCCCCCACAGCTGTCCCCCTGTGCCTCCACTTCTTCCATCTCCCCAAAGTATTGTAGCGAACAAAGTCAAGTTTTAACTTCAAAGGGGAGGGGAGGGGAGGGGAGGGAGCCGTGCTTTGCTGCAGGTCGCGCAGCGCCACTTCGAGACAGTTTGATTGGGGCAGTAAAATCCCTGAGTTGTTCTTGGCAGCGTTCTGATGACTGGGAACCTCGCGATCTGCTTAGAGCCGTGAGTGCGGGCTCTCCCTGAGTTTGGGGCACTGGAGGTTGTAGGCGGTCTCAGTAGTTGATCCGATTGACTTTCAAAGAGGCTCGATATCAGGCCTCCTTCCTGGTAAAGCCGTGGCCGTGGTGGGGGCGGGGGGAGCAGTGCTGCTCGGAGTTTGGTGGCAGGACCCGCAGCATCAGTGTCACGTGGGGGCCCAGCGAGAAGGGCTCATCCCGGGTCCCGTCCGCGACCGCCGGGTGATGGCGATGCGCATTGCGGTTGGGGAACCAGTGTTCGTATGTCGTGGCTTTTAGAGAAGACTGATGACACAGAGCCTGAGACGGACTCTCTGCTGGCGAAGGCAGGCCTGGCCGTCGTCTCGCTGACTCGTCATCAGAAGGGGAGCTAGCAGCAGGCCCCTTGGGGAAGGAGGACAGATTGTTTTAATGCTGTCAGCATTCTTTCCAAGGGAGGAATAGAGCTCTCTGCATCGTGTATATATGTATATATCTTCAGAATTAATATTTACTCTATTCAAGTGACATTGAAAATCCTGGGTCTTAAATTTTTGATTCAGTTTAGAAATCCTGTTTATCATCTAGCACGTTTCTGCAATCCATCTTAAGAGGGCTTTGGATAATATATGACCCCATTTACAAATGTGGTGATTAACAGCTTTTAAAACCTTCAGACTGTGTTTAGAAATTTCACATATTCAATCTGATTTTCAAGTTCTTTGGTTGCCTGATTGAAAAACAAACCATTCGCAAGTTCTTAAGCGCTTCTTACAAATCCAGTAAGTTAGCCTTACAAACACGAGAAGCCTTCAGTTCCTTTATATGTTCTAAGGCTACTTATAAACCTGAGAAGATTTTAAAATCGCAAGTCTAAGTTAACGATGCACTTTAAATTACAGATCTAATCCATCGGATATTTTGCCAAGTTCTCTTAAATGATACAAGTTCTGAAAAAAATGTCCAAATCCCCCGATCACAAAACTAATGATATTACAAATTTGACTGACTACGTCCCCTAATGCTAAATATTCCCAGGGAGAGATACATTTTTCCATTAAGGATATAATTGTCATTCATTCCCAACACATTTGAGATTGCCACCTTAGGTGGATTTTTGGGGGGTGATTTTAAAAATCAAGTTTGTTTTTAATGATAATAAAGTAATGTATCTTCTTTGAAAGCAAACCTGGAAAGTGGGTGCGGTTGCATATTTTGCTGTAACGCCCCCCATCTCGTGTCTGTCTCCCCAACACAATGGCTGCTGGGACGTTTCGTCCCACAAAAGCTCATTCTTGGGCTAGGTAAATCGAGGCACCCTGCAAAGAAAAAGCCCAGACGTGGGAACCAGGCTGAAGCCAGGCGGCCTCGCCGCCCTTGGGCTGTTGGGGTCTCGGCGTGTGTGAATGAGGGTGACCTGTGTTGCATTTCCCTTTTCCCCCCTGGGCAGGTCGGCCTCATCCAGCTGGGGCAGGAGCAGGTGCTCATCCAGCCCGTCAACAATTCCCAGGGCTCGCTGGGCGGGCAAGAGCATCTGATCAGGCGCAAATGGTCCCTGACGCCCAGCCCCTCCGTCGAGGCCCAGGTACCCAGGCAGCTCTGCAAGGTTCTCACAGGTGAGTCTGGTGACCAGCATGACGGCCTCGCGACACAGCCCATTTGGCACCGTGGTTCGGCCCGGCATCACCCCCTGCTGTGCCGCCAAATGCTGTGAAGTCATGGGAGCAAGAATGTACCTTTCTCTGTATTTTGAAAGGGTTTTTCTTTTTATTCTTTATTTTTTATTATTATTATTATTATTATTATTTTTTACCACTATTACCTTAATAAGGCCCCTTCCTTTTCCTTTCTGTGTGGCTGAGCGTCAGCAGTTCATGGTGTAGCAGCCCTTTGCAAAAGGCGTTTCTGGAAGGGACCCAGGCTCTCATTAATGCAGGTGTCTCGGTTTCATAGATGGGGAGCAAGGTGAGGCCCCAAAAAACCACGGTGGCTTTCCGTGGCAGAGCCGGGATGAGAATTCCCACCCCTCGGTACCCTGGCCGGAGCTTGCTTTCCTACGATGGTGATTCTCAGTCCTGGCTGCACTAACAAGAGTTGCCGGGGTCCTCGGAGGCAGGGGTTCTCCAAGCGTGGCCCCTGGGCCGGCAGCATCAACCCCACCTAGGAACCCGTTAGAACACACGTCCTCCCCAGGACTCCCCCTCCCCCGATCTCCCGACTCAGAAACCATGGGACGGGTCCAGTCTCAGGCCGGCCCGGTCAATCTGACGATGCTCAAGTGTGAGAACCGCTGCTCTAAATATGCCGAGTCGCGGCCGGTCCCCGGAACCCCGACCTCGTCGGTGTGGCCTGTGACTTGGGCGTCAGTCAGTGCTTTCGAAGGGAACTCTAATAAGCGGCTCGGGCTGAGAGCCCAGGGTACCTATATTTTGTGCCGCTATTCGGGCCACCTGCCGATTATCTGTTAGGTATTTAGGAGCATTTCATGGTGCTCTGTCACTGGCAGTCCGCCTGCCAGCATCACCTGATGACTTAACCTGCCGCTCGCAGGTGTCCTTCCTCCCTGGAGAACGCGGGACCCCGTGCTGGCCTCTGGGAGTTGTTTAACGACTTATCTTGGTGTGAAAACACGGTGTGTCTCGCTTAGTATTCCGGTGACCTTGGAAATAAATCGATCACGTGACTCTCTTTTCTGACAGCTGCGTTATTGAGAAATGAGCCTCGCGGCTGGGCTCGGCGGTTTCGTGCCGCTGCTGTCTCGCGGTTGTCCCCCTGGCCCAGTCTGTACTCGACAGGGAGGCACGAGAGGCGCTTTGGCTGGGTCAAGGCCACTTCTGCAAGCCCGGAGAGCTCCGAGCGGAGAAGGGAGAGGAGGCTGCCGCCGGACATCAGGGCTTTGCTCCGTTCGCTCCCACCTCCTTACAAAGTCGGGACGCTGGGCTTCGGCATACAAAATCCCCTTTTCTGGCGAGTCTCACGATTGCAATGCCAGCCGTGCGTTTGCGCTCGATGCTGGTGTGTTGTTTCAGTCGTCGGCCGCCTGACCCGATCCAGGTCAGTCTTGGATTGTTTGTTTGTTTATCTTCTCTCTAAGTAAATGGCCGTCGGTCTTTCTGAGTCTCCGGGCGCGTTCCGTAGCTGATCCAAACACTGGGTTCAGAGGCGGGCGTCACTCTAGGGCTGTGGCGCTTAGCGCTGGCTGTCCAGGGCCATCGCCTGGGGAGCCTCGTGATCACTCGCGCCCCTCCCCCGGGGGCAGCTGCACTTCACTTGGCCTTGGGGCCGCCTGGGCGTTGGTGAACTTCAGAACGCCCCACGCGGTTCCAAAGTCCAGCTGGCGCCGGGAACCAGTGCGCTCAGGAGTACTAAACACAAGTGCCCGTGGGCCACCGGGAGTGCGATTCTCAGCCGAGGACCGCCGAGCAGGGCCCTCGCGTGAAATCCAAGGACAAGTCGATTTTATTCTTATTTTTCCTCCTGACTCAAACCCAGCGTTCGTCAGCTGCGGGTCAGCGCTCAGAAAGAAACCCAGGGTGCGTGTGACGGCGTCGTGACCACCAGCTGCCTTCCTCTTCGGGGGTGCGACACCAAGGCTTGTGGCAAAATGGTAAACTGTGCCCATGTGTGCATTTTTGTCCCTGAGGCCAGCGTCACGGCACCCTTTTGATAGACGGAAGCGAAACTATAAGCAAACCGGGGCGGGAGGATTCGATGGAAACTGAGTGTAAACGAGCAGCCAGGCCAGGGGACACAGGTTTCCGAATTTGCTTAAAAAATCAGCTCCCCTTCCTCATCCCCGAATCTCACACCGACGTGGTCTGCCACCTGGGTGCCACAAGTGTGTTTATGTCGTGCCACCTCCGGCTCCTCCCGGGTGAGGACACAGACCCAGGCGAGAGGCAGGTCTCGCTGCTGGGCCTTCCTGCTTTGCGTGAGGTGCCCGGTAACCCTTGTCACCGCGTTGAGACAATGAGCCTTATTAGGCTTAGCTAATAAGCCGTCAATTAGGTCCTATTTAGTTTGGATTCATTTTCAAACATCGAGAGTTTAGACGTGAGGAAAATTAATTTAGTGGGACCGCAGCAGAATACATTCTTGACATTTCCTGGAAAAGTTAATCAGATTAATATAAAATTCCCCCATGGGAACATGTTCTCGATGGCTGGACACGGTGGCCAGAGGTGTCACGGTGCCTCATCTTGAAGCTTGTGTTACCGCGACCTTGGGCAAGGCCTGGGAGTCTCCGGCTGGCTTACGCAGGTGACAAGGAGGCTGATGACCCTTTCTCCTCCTCGGAGCACTCAATTTACCTGAAAAGAAAGTCGGCCTGGGTAAGGTGCCACATTCTCTAGGGGGTTAGAGGGTCTCACACAGTAAAGGCCACCGAGAAGAGACCACAGCCTCCTGGGTACCGCTGAGCTTGCATTTCTAGCAGCCTTTGGGGCTCCCAGGGAGGGGACGGGCTGATCCTGTTTCCTTTATAGCTCCTTATTTTTAGGACCTTATAAACCGATTCATAAAATATCACTCCAGTTTGGAAGGTTGAGACTTGGCATGAAAATATGGAGTCTGCAGGCGTTTTTTTTTTTTTTTTTTTTTTTTCAGTTGTGTTTTTTTGGTGAGAGCATGAGTTTTTGATGGTTTTTTGGCTACTCAACAAAAATGGTGCTTTGGATATTTTGAAATGTTTTTTGAGTTTTTTAAAGTGGTTATTTTAACTTTGAAACTTTTCGTCTGTCTTCTATGCTTATTTTAATTTCTCCTTTCGGATTCAGTTTAGATTCTTTTGACTCTTATGGTCTCTACTAACGGTTTGAATCTGTCTCCTTCTCGACCATGGTAGATGTGACACGCGATGGTAAAATAATAAAACCAATTCACCATGAGGCACTTTCAAAGTAGGACTCCTACAATGTTTTGAGTGGCAGTGGGCTCCTCAGAGCTGGGGTCCCCAACCTCCGGGCCGTGGACTGGTACCGATCTGTGGCCTGTTAGGAACCAGGCTGCACAGCAGGAGGTGCGGGGCGGGCGAGCGAGCGGAGCATCATCCGTATCTGCACCCGCTCCCCAGCGCCAGCATCACCGCCTCAGCTCCGCCTCAGATCCTCAGGCATGAGATGCTCATAGCACCGGTCCCTGGTGCCACAAAGGCTGGGGACCACTGCCTTAGAACACATCCAACCAAGGTACCTGTGAAGGCATGGCTGTCTCCTTTATAGTTTAAGTTCTGTTATGATTGTTTTAAAACAATTGACGTTATTTTATAGTATCGTCTGGTTCATTAATAGCACTATAAAGTTAATTTAGATTAGTATTTAGAGGGTACCGGGACTATTCAGAAATTCTGTATTGCTAATTATGCAAGAATTTTCATATGTAATACTATGTGCGTATACTCTGTAGTAAATAATGGGTCGGGACTTGTGCTTTGTGTAATTTGGTTGGAAATGAAAGAAATCAAATTGGCTTAAACACTAATGACATCACCGCCATGGGCTCAGGGACCGAGGTGTAGAACAGGAGGCTGCACCTGAGCTAAGGCTTAGTTAGCCAACTGGGCTTCTTCGGCCGTTCTCTCTGTGTGACAGCTTTGTCCTCAGCTGGCTTCTTAGCGATGAGGAAGCGGCAGCTGGACCGAGCAGATAAACTCTTGCTTCTAGCAGGAATTCGGGCTGGCTAGCGTGGATCCAGTCCCCACTGGTTTCCGTGGCTTGAGGCAGGATCAGAGCTCAGGTCTCAGTCCCCATGGGATGAGGG